TCTAAGGCGAAAGGCTGATAACGGCACCCTGGTCGGAGGACAATATTCTCCTCGTTCCGGTCTGGACGCCTTAAGTCATTTCGAAAAACGACTTGAAGAGTGGAGATGGTGGTTGTTGGAGAGACTTCCAGGCAGCCTTCGAAAAAGTGGACAATGGATTGTGCTAGCAGAGCAGTGGATGGAACGGGTGAATGAGGGTTGGAGTCAGGAAGAGGAAGACGGTATTCCACTACCAGGAATTCAAGAGACACTCAATAAATTACTGGAAGAACAGACTGTAAGTCTCATTGTACCCACAACCAGAATTTGTGTTTAGCACAATTCATTAAAACTGGTGCATAAGCTCTGTCACTGCTGTCTGGCGTCTTAGTGAAAAAGATGGCAAACCTAGGTTCATGAACTTTCTGCACGTCGACCAATGGACTAATGATGTCTGTCACTCACTATTTTCACTTATAGTTCCAGGAGGTTTTGGGGAAATTAATCATCTGCTCTCCTCAATAACCAGCTTTTATATCACTTATTTTTATCTCTCCACCCTCTTTAAGACGTCCAGCCAAAGGGATAAGGGGTTAAGGGAAAGAGGAAGCGACAAATCAGATGCACGTGAGCACGCCTGCCACTCAGTATGAAAGAGAACTAAAGGTCTTGTTTACTATTATGCCGTTGTTGTGTCAATGCTAATGATCATGTCATTTCGGTGTTTGGTGTTTTTACTGATCAGTCAGGAGAGTTCGCTCGAGGATACGAATAATTAGATTTGAAAAAAGGAATTTTCCCTATCCTCCCCATAATGTATTGTTGTCCTTGTCTGCGTTCTAGAGGATATTTGGCCCTGAGGTTGATAAGGCCGCTAAAGAGGCCACCCGATTTAAAAGACTCTTAGTGAATGCGGATCTGGACCAATCGATCGTAGCAAAGTTGGAAGAAACGGTGGCTGCGGTTGTGAACAAGGTGGATGGTTATGTAGTCGTATTGGGAGCTTCTGTTTGCTACAGAAGCGTCTTAAATGCAATGCAGGATGGCGGTCTCGGAGAATTAATTGAAGAGTGGTCGGAGCTGGTTTCTGGAAACCGGCCAAATGAGACCCTGGCTTTAGTAGTGGACGCCCAAGAGGCATTCAAGGTGAGGTGATTGTACGATCGTGTAACTCTGGAATGGGTGGACAGAAGTCCCGACGTGTTTGACGCCACGTCTGAGCACGTATTAGCAAAATCTCGAACAGAAAAAGGAAAATCGTTTCTTAATTGACCCTAAAGCATGATAGTAAACCTCCTTTCTACCATTTCGGTAGCACTTTCTTTATGCTACGACCGCTTTCCCTTTTTGTTCTCATTTACAGTGCATCTTCATCCACTCGTTCAACGGTTATTTTAGCCTTAGCAAAAGTTCCTCTTTTAGCGATAACTGCTATATCTAAATAAACAAAATTTCTTACTGTCTTGCCATCGAAA